AGTCAGTAATAAAGAAAAAAGAGGACAAAATTTTACTTGGGCCTGAGGCCACTTTGCCGCAGGCTAGTCTTTTGTCAAATAAATGACTCGTATTACCTTGACCTGGGTACATAGCAATTTCTGTTATATTTTGTTCTAGCATCTTGATTAAAAACATGTTAGCTATGAAGCAGTCATTCATCTTATCAAGGCAAAATGCATTAATTATATGAAGACTTAGGGAGCATTTCTCACAAAATAGAACAGTAGCGTTCATTCAGGAAAAACATAGAGCCTGGTGCCGAAATACATCATTTTTCTGTTTTTCCTTTCACTTATTAAGTTATGATTCTGTATGTACACAGTATCTTGATTTGTTTAAATTACATGGATTCTAGGCTGCTTTGTAAATTTCAAGTCTGCATTATGCATGTTTTAATAAAGAATGAACTGCGATTCCCGGGGAAAGCTCTGGTTCGGCCTTGTCACACTTCCAGATGTGCACCTGGTCCTTTATTATGTCTCATGTAAAAAGCTAGTGGGTATCTTTCTGACAGCACCTTGTTAATCAAGATACAGTAAGATGTATACATATATATATATACACACACACACACATAAAGAGTAGAATTGTAATTATGGTAATGTGGCAGAATAGCTTAAAAATGGAAAACAGACCAGCAGCCTCGCTGTTGAAATGTGAATACTGTGTTTCTCTTTCATTTGCTGTTGTCTTGGAACCTAGCTGTTTATGCAGTGCTTTCACCTTCTGTTGCTTGTCTAAGTGCCAACTTCTTTCCCAAAGGTGTTCAGTGACTAATGCTTTGGTTACAAGCCAGAATATTTTATAAATGTCTATTTATAGGCAGCTCTTCTACAAGTCTTAATTAAACTTTAATGTCAAGCTGAAGTTTACTTCTAGAACCTCTTAGTTTCCTTTAGTTGTAACGTGGTTCTAGAGAAGTAGAGGGGATGTGGGACAGCCATGTTCCCGCACGTCTTCACTCTGCCCTTTATCACAGGGCCACCAAGCAGATGCGTGCTTGTGTAACACAAAGGTTTACAACACAAGAATAAGTCAGCCATCCCCTCAAACACTGGGAGGAATAGCACATTATGACGGAGTCAGATTCTTCCACCCTGAAATGATAGCCATGATTCAGAAGAGGTACTGCCTTGTTACTTATCATACATCCTTCCAGAAATATCCAGCTTCTCAAAGCCGGGGATCGGAACTAGAAATGCTACATAGGGACATTTTCTTCATTCCTTTCTCCTCGATGTCTTTAGTACCAGACAAGGAATTATGAGGTCTGGGAGATCGTTTCCTCTAAGGCAGCATCAGGTGCCATCTGAAATAATGAAGCTTCTGTTATTGTCAGAATAATACAGGTTTTAAATATAGTAATATGATGTGGTACGCTTATTTTGAAACTAATTATGCTCCTCAGTCAGACTGCCCAATGGCAGAGCCAGCAAACTTTTTACTTGAAGGGACAGACTGTAAATATTTTTAGGCTTTGTGGGACAGAGATGTCGCAACTGCTCAACTCTGCCGTCATAGGGCAAAAGTGGCCACAGACGAAAGAGCATGGCTGTGTTCCAATAAACCTTTATTTACAAGACCAGGCAGCGGTCCCAATTTGGCCTTCAGGCAGCAGTTTTTGAACCCCTACTCTCTGGTATGCTTTCTTTTATATGATAATCCTGTAGGACATTTTTATTTTTTATTATTTAAATATAGTTCCTTTATATTTTATTTTTTTAATGTAATTTGTTAGTAAAATTTAAGCTGGTTGCCAAAATTAGCCAGATTTAGAGTTTTTTTTCAGGAATTAGTCCTGGGTTAATAAACCATAAGGGCCTGCTCATAGATAGACAGACAGACTGACACAATGGAATTATGTATATATGTTTACTGAAAAACTATAAAGGCTCCAAACTGTAATTGCCAAAATTCCCAATGATAGTTGAAAGGATAAATAAAATGTGGCATATTTACAAAAATTAGTATACACACCAATGAGAAGAAATGATTTACAACTCCATGCATCAGTATAGATTAAACTTAAAAACAAAATTTTGAGTAAAGAATGTTGGATACTCCAAGATTACATACTCAGTGATTCCATTTATATGAAATATAAAACTGGGCAAAGCCAGTCTATACTAGTAAAAGCAAGATGGTGGGTAGGGCCAAGAATTGGAAGGGGGCACAAGGGTATTTCTTTGGTGCTGGCAATATGGTTTTCTTGATCTGGGTGCTGGTTTCACACATGTATTCAGTTTATAAAAATTTGCTGAGCTCTACACTTAGGTTGTGCGCATTTTTCTATATGTATGTCCTACCTTGATAAGAAGGTTTAAAGTGAAAAACAATTAGGATAAGAAGGGAAGAACTTTTAGGTATTAAGTGAAATGTCCAGTTTCTCATAGATATATTAGAAGTATCAAAGTGGGGGGAAGTGTTCAAAATTATAATAATTTTGTTTGTAGATTCTGAGGTTCATAATAATTTGCTCCTCAAATTCAAACTCAAACAGTATCGATGTTGCCATTAATTTATTGGTCAACTCAATAGTTGTATTGCCACTAAAACATTAGGTTATATGGGCGGGGTATAGATCACATGATGTGGTAGTAGTAGATGTTTACTTTATCTTAATGAAACATTTGGAATTTGCATACCGTCACAGAACAGATAAGCATGGCTCTAATTTCATAGAATGTACAATGAGTTCATGAACTCTTAACAGTCACCTATCCAGTAATTTCCTCAATCTTTCAGACTTTTTTTTTAGTGTTATCCAGCCCTTTTTAATGTTTGATACACTTACATACCACACATGTATTTTGAACACTGTGTTGCTAGCCTCTGAGAAAACAGTGATATTCATGACCCGGCACCTTTTCTCCAAGAGAACTTATTCTAGTGGTGAGAAAAGCCAGACAGTGTGAACATATTGCATTAGAGGGTTGCCCAGTGTGTGGGAAAGTGGCAGAGAGAGAAGCCATTTCTGTTAGGGAGGATGCAATGCTGGGTGAAGGGGCTTAGCAATAAGTTATCAAGTGGAAGAACTTCTGAGGACTCTTAACATTGACACTCAAGCTGAGTCTTGAAGAACAAGTATAAGTTAACCAGATAACATGAAGAGGGAAGAGGTTGAAGGCAGAGGGATGGCTTGAAATAGGACACAAAACACAGGTGTTTGGACCCCTGTTTGTAGGTGAACATGGCTAAAGGGAAGGAATGGGTTGTGCAGTGGAAAGTAAGGCACGACCAGCTCTTTCAGGCTGCATCTGCTGCACTAATCAGAACTCTATCTTGAAAGCACTGGAGGAAAGGAAGCAGACACGTGACATTATCAAGTTTGCTTTCTGCAAAGTGACCACCACCCGCCCCCAGTAGTGTGAAAATTGGAAGAGGACTTGACAAATCAATTAAGAGTATAATCCAAGTGAATGCCAGTTCAATCATGAAATTTTCAGATGTTCTTTATTTAAGAAAAGAAATTTTAATCTTCATTCAGCTCAAGCTAAATAACTAGAATAGTACAAAAGCAAGAAGCAACATGCCTTTGCTACCCCCAGGCAAAATGGGTCCCCGCCCTGGTCCCAGAGCCCTTCATTCATAACTCTTTTCAAGTATTTCTAATATCTGTTTACATCCGTTTATAAATCTGCCCTTTATAAGCTCTACAAAGCTGGGAATTTGTTATACTATTTTTGTATGTGAGAGTAATAGCTGTAACGATTATTATACAGGGGCTTTCAATTAAAATCAGTCTTCATCTTCAAGTAATGCTTAAAAGCATCAATCTTGAAACTCGTTCTTTAACTCTGTCCTTAAACATTCTGTCTTAAATCAACTCACAAATAACTACTAAATGCCTACTATGTGTTTAACATTTCCATAAATAGTTTATTCAAACACAAATACAGATGTTGATTAGAATGATACAATGTAAGCATTGTTGAAGAAATGTTTTCTAAACTCTAGTTGCTAGGTGAATATCTTTCTTATTGTTATGATTATCCTCGTCTGATATTTTGCTTTGGGTCATATTCTTCTCTGGTTGAACTAATTTGTTTTTAATTTAAATACTTTGATATCTAAGAGTGTCTGTTTTTGAGGACAGCTTACAGAATCATGACATTCTGTAGCAGGTTCTGAGCTCTTCTAACCATCTAATCAGTAAAGGGAATGGGTTGCCTTGAGACTTTAGAACATTCTAGCTGTGGTACCTTGAATACATTTCTTAAACCTCAGGTTCCTTGGGGTTTCATGGAATGTGCATGAGTCATATCTTCACTGAACAGTAGTTATTATTACAGGTGGGGTGACTGAGTCTTTAAAATGCTAAATGACCTCTCCCCCGGAAGAACGGGGGGCCAGAGCCAGAACTTGAACTCACTTACGTGTTTGGATTTGTAGCAGTGTTCCCTTTCCAGTTCACAAGATGGTGAAACACTTCCGCAGTTCTATTTTTAATTTGGTCTAGTTCTTGGTAGAGGTGACCAGCCTTGCCTTAAGAAATTCTTTCTAGTTCAACAGATTTTAGTGGTACCCACGTGCTGGCCATAGCAGTCCTTTCCCATGCCATGCTCACTTCCACCAAAGCATCCTCTGTTTTGGTGGAAATAGTCTCTTCTCCTTTGGCTTTGGCAGCAGCTAGTTCAATGTCTACTCAAGAATGAAGAAAGAAAAAAAAAATCTTTTCTTTTAGGAAGATATTTTGAAATAATGAGAAAAATATGCTAAAATGATAGAAGCAAGAAGTTAAACAGAAAGCAGACTAGTTTAATTATAACTAAATTAGAAAACTTTTCCTGTGTAATAACTAACTGAATTTATCTGAAACCTGGGAAACTGAGTTCTTTTTACAATGGATTTACATCTACTTGCGTGGGGTCATCTCCTATGGCTGTGCTTCCAAATTAGTATTTTATGTTCAGGATACATAAATGAAGAGATGGGATTTTTAGTTCCAAACGAAAACTAAATCGTACTTAATTTTTAGGCCACATGAAAATAAAACCTATCTTGCTGTTGGAAGTATGAAGACATTAATGTTGAACGTGTCCTTATTTAATGCCGGAGATGATGCATATGAGACAACTCTGCATATCAGACTACCCACTGGTCTTTACTTCATTAAGATTTTAGATCTGGTAAGAATCGAAAACTACAGTAGCATGATAGTACATGATATTTTACTTAACTTTTAAAGAATGTAAATGTATAAATCACTTTATCATTTGAGGTATAAATATTTGGCGTATGAGTCTTAATATTCAGACTTATCACTCGGGCTTCTAGTAATTTTTTTCCTCTGTGCCGCTAATCAAAATGGAAAGTTCCTTGGGATCTGACTGAGATCAAGAGAGTCAGCTTCCTGCTTACCAATGCTACTGTGAGACAGAAGCGATTGTCCAGTTATCCAAGCAAGCTGCCCGAGTGTCATTGCTTTTCTCACTGGTACAACCTCATCTGGTGCTGTGATGGTGCTCCTCATGGTTGGGGTCTCTACACGGGCCATATTGGTCCTTCATGCTGGGCTCCCAGCGTTACTGCTCTGCATTTTAAGTTCGCATACACTGTCTCGATCCCAGAGGACCTCCAAAATGCTAGAACCAGCGTCAAATTCCAAAATCCTGGTGTCAACCAGATTGTAGGCAAGTTTCTCCTTTCCTGCAAGAGTTTGGAGCATCTGGAGACCTTTTCCTTTTTTTTTTTTTTCCTTTTTACCACTGTGCCTCAGTCATGAGCACTTAAATCCATCAGTGAGGTATTAATAATGTTAAATTTGAAAGAGAAAAGTCTCAGTCACTTTCTCCGTGGATGCTCCTCTGCCTCTTAGAAAAATGTACCCATCTCTTATCCAGAGACCATTTCTTCACACTAAGGACATTTAGAAAGGCCTTTGACCTCTTATAAATATCTACTACCCACTTCCTCTAGAGCTTTGGGAGCCTGTTTGCAATGGTAAGAGGGAAAACTCAGTTATTCAGGGAAATATACATCTGTGAGATGTATATAAATTTGTATTTCCCTGAATATTTGAATATATATATAATTGTGATTACAGTTATAATTAAATACCTTTATCACACTCTCACAACCCAGACAGAAGGCAGCCAATGAAATATAGACCTTATGAATTCCTTGCTTCGTGATTTTTCAAGGAACCTTGAGTTAGGGAACACAGAAACATGGTTGAAAGCTACAAATCCAGGAATTATTCTGTGGAGAATATATGTGAATATTAGAATGAATCTATACTTGTACACACATATTTATGTAGTGTATTTATATTCCTATTGATTTATCCCCAAAGTAAACAGAAATTAGTCTTCCAAGAAAGTATTCAGGGATGATTTTCTTTTCAAAAACCATCCTTAAACATATGTTATGAACTTCTCATTCCTTACCTACTTAAACCAGTTATTTCATTTTCCTTTTAGGAGGAGAAACAAATAAACTGCGAAGTAACAGACAGCTCTGGCATAGTAAAACTTGACTGCAGGGTTGGTTATATATATGTAGATCATCTATCAAGGGTAAGCACTTAGCATTTATAGTTTTTGTTACTGACATGAATATAAAATATTTTCTGTTTCCTTATGTTTCTGCTGCATGCAAATAATTTGTTGTTGTCGTTTTTATTATTTACTAAGAGTAAGTAGCTAAATGAAATAAAACCCAAACCAACTGGGCTTGAGATCTTTGAGATTGTGTTTATATTCTTGGCAATGTTCACTGTTTAAAAGAAAGAAAAAGAAGGGGGCGCCTGTTTGTGTCAGGACGGGCGGGTGAATGTGTCAATCAATTCCGCTGCCCAGCCTCACCCTTCCCCAACACTCCCCCAACTCCACCCCGGGTGGTCCTATCTGCCAGGCATGTCACCTGTCCTCTACTCAAAGGTGTTTCTGGCAAGAGTGCCCACTCAAGTTGTTAAAGCATCTCTAATTTTGTCAGTCTGGACCTGCCTATCTACATTCAGAGGAGGCTTTGTCTCTGAACGTCACTCGTGGAAATGCTGCTGCTTTAAAATTGCCACAGGCCCGACAGCTTCCCCGTAGTTCTCTGAGTGAGGGTCAGCCTATGCTTGTAGGACATCATTTCGTATCTGTATTTCACAGAACATAAATAATAAGAAAAACTAAAATTCAGATTGTAAAAACAAACTTTAGATTATTTTTATTTTTTTTTTACGTCTTTATTGGAGTGTAATTGCTTTACAATGGTGTGTTAGTTTCTGCTTCATAACAAAGTGAATCAGTTATACATATACATATGTTCTCATATCTCTTCCCTCTTGCGTCTCCTTCCCTCCCTCCCACCCTCCCTATCCCGCCCCTCCAGGCAGTCACAAAGCACCGAGCTGATCTCCCTGTGCTATGCGGCTGCTTCCCACTAGCTATCTACCTTACGTTTCGTAGTGTATATATGTCCATGCCTCTCTCTTGCTTTGTCACAGCTTACCGTTCCCACTCCCCATATCCTCAAGTCCATTCTCTAGTAGGTCTGTGTCTTTATTCCTGTCTTACCCCTAGGTTCCTCATGACATTTTTTTTTCTTAAATTCCATATATATATGTGTTAGCATACGGTATTTGTCTTTCTCTTTCTGACTTACTTCACTCTGTATGACAGACTCTAGGTCTATCCGCCTCATTACAAATAGCTCAATTTCGTTTCTTTTTATGGCTGAGTAATATTCCATTGTATATTTGTGCCTAGATTATTTTTAAAATGAGCGTTCCCTATGTTTTTCAGACAGATATTAGCTTTCTTCTGGATGCCAGCTCACTCAGCAGAGCAGAAGAGGATCTCAACATCACAGTGCATGCCGCCTGGTATATTTCATTATGAAAAAACAATTGTGTTAAAGGAAATGAACCCCTGACTTTTGGGGGGAGAAAAGGGGGGTGACCTTAGGGGAACCATGGAGCTGTGTTCCATTGTCTGCAGGAGAAAACTTCCTTTATGTGATCTGTTAAACAAACAAAAAACCCTTCTAACATAGGGTTTTATAGCACAGAAGCAAATAACAGCATAAATAATGAGAGCAAATTTCTGCCAACTCTGACATAAATATTTCTTACTACTGCGTCTACTTTTATCCCCGCTCCTCAAAAAGCATTTTTTAAACCAACCTCCAAGTACATTAGGTATACATGGGGCGTAACTAGTTCCCTCTGAAGAGAAGTTTTGTGCTGACTGGATTCTAAGACGGTGTTTTCTATTTGCTTCTGTAGTGAAAATGAAGGAGAAACAGGCAACATGAAGCGTAACAAAGTGACTTTAACAGTACCTCTAAAGTATGAAGTCATGCTAACTGTTCATGGGTGAGTAGATATGGAGGACTCCTGTAAAATTCTGAGCTGATTTTGAATTCTGTTGCTTCTTAAACTACTGGTCAAAAGCCTATTTAAAGTTTTTTAAGAAAAGGTCATGTGCTGTTTCTGTCTCTTAACAATTACCTCGGTGTTGCAGCCCATTGCTTAGGTGTTCGTTATTTTAACCCACTCTGTAGTCATCACTGAGACCACCTCAAATTAATGCCCCAATGGAGGAGATTTCTTACTGGAAAAGCCCAATAGGAGGCCACGTCCAACCATTCAGCAGTACACCGTGCAGGTCAGGGCCCCAGAGTGCCAGCGTGCACTTTGTATCATGCTCAGTGGCCAGGGCAAGTGTGAAGTTCAGAGAAGTGGAAAGTTGGCCAAATCGCCCTTGTGCAGACCCCGCATCTACCTGCGTGGCAGATGAATTGAGATACAAGAGAGCCGGCTCCCTTGTCCCCTCTTTATATCCGTGAATTACAGAGTTCCATACCCACAGCCCCGCAGTCACTGATTCCTCACAATTTTAGTAATTGTTTGAATGGACCCTCCTATAACTCAGGAAGGAGATGTGAAGAGAAGGAATTAAAGGAGTATCATGAAAACCTTTCATGATTTTACTGGAAATTATTGAGCCTACTAATCTTTGTTTAAAACCGCATTTTTAAAGCAATAGACAATATGAGACACAGGACAAATAGATGAGCTCTTCTAGTTGCCCTAACTATAAAGCATCCCTAGTCATTTTTAACCACCCATAAAGGTGGCATATAGTTATATAAAAATAGTGTCCGAAACTGATGGAACTGATTCTCCAGTTTGTGAGAGAAAACCAGCGGAGGAAAGAGGAATCCATTCAAGGGCGAGTAGTGGGGAGCAAAGAGAAGTCAATTGCACGTTGCCTGGGTTCGAATGCTTACCTCGCCTCGCCCCCTTGGTTCTGTTATAAGTATGTCCTCCTGCTTTTCCGTCATCCACGTCTCATTTTGAGCAAGGGATGCTCTGCAACTGTCAAGCTGCCTAAATCTACAACATTGGAATATTTCTCATTTCTTTCCTTTGTAAAAGAGTCTCTAACGTATTACCTCATGTTAGCTGCCAAATATTAGCAACTTGGGGAGTCGGGATTTTCCTAGAAAAATACGTCTTAAAGTTCATTACTGACCGTGCGTGTGTCTCATCTCAGGTAAAGGAATGACAACCTTGTATCCTAACAAAAATTTGCCCTGCTTCTTGATGTTTGAATTGTTCCCCAGACTTGGGGTCCATTACAAACAGCCAGCAGGAGTTGGGCGTGATAAGAAATCACTCAAACATCTGTCAGCTAGATTGAAATACAGGAGGATACTGGAGCCCTAGGGAAAAGCTAAGAATTTATCTCATATTCGTCAGGTTTGCGTGAAGCATTTGAGGGCTGAGAGAGAAGGAGTGGTCACTAGAGTGAGGCAGGTAGTATTGGGAAGGCAAAGGATATTGGCGGGAAGAGAAATTATCACCCCAGTCAGAGCACGTGGCTTTCTAATTTCATTACATTTTCCCTAAAATTCTTATCTTTACAAGAAACCAAAAGTATTCCATGGTACTTAGAGGCACCTGTCGTCTGAATGATGGCATATTTAAGGGATATTTAAGAGATATGCTATATTTAGACTAGAGAGAAAGACTGTTTCTAATACCTCATCAAATAAGACAGTTAAATTAAATCTGAATTCATTTCTGGCAGGTTTGTAAACCCAACTTCGTTTGTGTATGGCCCAAAGGAGGAAAATGAGCCTGAAATGTGTATGGCAGAGAAAATGAACTTCACTTTCCACGTAAGAAAAGTTGATTGTGCTGATATTTGTAGCAAACTGAAAGAATGTTACCAATGCATTGCTCCAGAGGACATCATATCTGTGTGGCGTCCCTCCGCTTTGGGCCACCTCAGCTGGCTGAGGGCGAGAAGGGAGCTGCAGCAGGGCTCATGCCCTTGCCTGGTGGGCCCCTGCGCCTTCTCTCCCATTCATCTTGTCCCTGTTATTGAGCCCACTCTCCTTATACTACCTCTCCTTATACTACCTCTCCTTACAGTAAGTGCCTCCTGGGAACAGAGGTAATGCCTGAAATAGGCAAAGTTATGGGAGGAACTGAATCTGCTAAAGATGCAGGCAGAAATCAGAATAGGTCAAGAAAAGGCATCTTTGGGTGCAAATCAGTGAAACCTCTTCGTGGTCCAAGCTTCATACAAGTCCTAACCTTACCAAGTAAAGGAAGCTTTTACCTTCGCATCTCCATTTAAGGTCTGCTTGGTCAGCCTTTCAAGCCATTGGTATAGGACCCATGACAAGTGATCCATCATTTATTAAATAATCCTTTTAAAAAGGAAAGAGTATCATCATCATCCAGAAGTATTAACATACTAATAGAGAGCTAAAATTTCATTAAACACTTTTTACCGTCAAACTGAAATTTTTGTTACAGCATGGGTGTTGATAAGGAGCGAATAATTGGAGATAATGTCCACAAAAACATTTTTTGAACCGAAAGCACTGCTCACACATTCTCAAGAGCTATATAACAATCTACAGACTGTGAGTGAATCTGCGTTAGGTACATTATCATATTTTGTAAGGCAGTGCTTTTCAAAATGTGTATCAGAATCACTTGAGGTGCTTATCCAAAATGCAAACTCCTGGGCCACTGCCCCAATCTGTGGAAGAAGAATGACCTCAAAATTCTTTCGAGTCCGTACTCAAGTTGTTGTTACACTAGTATACCCTAGTGTTGGAAAAATGTCGCCCTCTACTTTGAAGTCCCCCAAAATGCTCCTGTCACAGTCCAGTGGGGGTTTGTACTCTGATAAACAGAAACTGAGTTGGACTCTAGAAGGCCTATTTATTACGTTGCAAATAATAGTTCACAAGTATTGTCTAGTTAAATTACAATGGAGTGACTGGGCATGGAGATTCTTTCAGTCTGTAGGCTTGGTGACTTGTCCAAGTATGAAGATGTTCTCGGAGGTCTAAATGTTATTAGGCGAACATGCATAAAGAATATTGTAAGTGAGCTTGGTTATTTGCTGGCGTCAGGAAGACCTTGTCTAAAGGTCTGGGCAGTGCTGGGTCCCCATTGCTGACATTGCCTTTTGCAACTGCCCTGTGCTTCCAAGGCCTGGCAGTTACCACCTGTCCCAAAGCCCAGGGGTACTCTCTCTCTATTTACATCGTGTGCGTTCAGAAGATTATTGCAGGTCTTTGAGTCATGCTATTTCATTTAGATATTGTAGCACATCTTTTTTCTGACTTACTGTGTTGGTTTTATAGTTCTCAGGAGGCCATATTTTGGCCCAATTTCCTTCTTCAGCGTTCTGCAAACCCCAGATTTATCAACAATAATGAAATATCTTCCCCTTATGCATTATTAAAAAACTGGTTTTTTTCTAAAACCCAATAACCTACCCTCTTATTTTATGAGTGCATCAGCATTATAATTTTCCTGAATTTAAAATATTTTTATTCACTTACTGCTGCTGATGATTCTCTCGGCACAGAGTGACTTTGTGAAACCCACATAGAATTTAGAATTAGGATACCTGGGTTTTGGTCCCGCTTCTTGTCACTTTTTAACTTTCATCTTGGTTACAACGTTAACACCTCAGCATTTTCCTGAGATGGCAAATAATAAAATGTCAGCCCACCTCATGGGATAGTTATAAGGACAACCGATCGTGGTTTTCTAGATCTATAATGTGCCATACCCAGGTACAGTTGGCCCTTGAACAACACAGGTTTAAACTGCACGGGTCCACTTATATGTGGATTTTTTTCCAATAGTAAATACTATAGTACTACTCAATCCACGGTTGGTTGAATCTGTACATACAGAGAAACCAGGTAGACAGAGGGCTGAGTATACATTATATTAGGAGTTTCACCTGTGCTGAGGTCAGTGACCCTAATCCCCCTGAGTGGTTCAGGGGTCAACTGTATATTATTGATGTCTTTTTCCTCAGACTACTTCTGCGGTAGACCATCAGTGTAGACAGTTTGGTCTAATCGGCACCAAAAGGAGAGGTCTAGGAATAATGACTAGTTATATTATTAACAAACGTTTTAAAGTTCTGACTATAGATATTCTGTCTCCTTTTGCCGTGCAGCTGCCAACTCCAAACCCCAACCATTATAAATGTTACATGAAATATATGGGTTCGCCTGAAAAGTTCATTGGTATCTGTACTTCTATAAAAAGTATTTTTTGAGTGTTTAAATTTTCTTTCTTCTTATCAGGTTATCAACACTGGCCAAAGCATGGCTCCAAATATTAGTGTGGAAATAACGATACCAAATTCTTTTATTCCCCAAACTGATAAACTGTTCAACATTTTGGATGTCCAGGTAAAAACGTGTTCCTTCCTTTATTCTTAGTAATATTGCTAAAATGGAGATTTCTGTTACTTCAGTCACACTTAGTCTAAACTACGAATGCACCGTGCATTTACTGTGTACACTTTGAATATTGCATTAGAATGGCAGGATTACAGCAGAACCTCTACATGTGACTTAACACAATAAAAGAACTATGCTCTACCATCTTTGGTAGATTTTCTTTGTGATAGGGACCTGTGGCAGTAATTTAATTGGTGGAATTCTCCATAAAGCTTGAGACCACTGTTGAAAAAGCAATACTTCAGCCTTTTATTAATATTCAAATAACTACTTAAGAATCAATATTCTTGTGTTGATGATTCTATCAGAATTGTTTTTACGTTCCCAGTTTTAAGACAATCGACAAAGAAACCTACTCAGTAGATTTGATATATAATCCTTAAAAATCTTACTTGAATCCCAGATTTAGATGGTAGGGCATGCTTTTAGAACACTTTGTTGTATGTCTAAAGCCAAAGAAATGTTCAATATAATGCTAATGTTCAAATGTCCATTTTTCATATTGCCCTAATTTCTGTAAAGTTAAGGCCATTTGATCAATTTGGGACCTATATCCAACCCTTTAAAATTTTTCTGGGTTTTTGTTGCGTTTTTTGCCACAGAGATTTAATCTCTCCCACATCAAAAAATATTTTCACACAATTTTATAAGTACTTGATATATTTCAGGAAAGGTAAGCTTTAAAAGGTAAGTTTTAAAGCCATGTAGCTGTTGTTCTTTCCAATATTGGATAAGATTTTTCTTTCTTTCTTTGTAGACTACTGTTGGAGAATGCCATTTTAAGAATTACCAAAGAAAGTGTGCATTAGAGCAGAAAAAAGGCACAATGGAGACCCTGAAAGATATATTCAAATTTTTATCAAAGACTGATAAGAGGCTACTGGTAAGTTTCAATTTTTCAGGTTGTAGTTTTTGCTTTCCAACCTACAGAACTGAAACACTTAAACCCATGAACCAAGGGGTTTTGAACTGTCAGTTGAGTATAGGAGAGAAGCCAGTTCAGGTAATGTTCTTGTGTGTGAGGAACAGGCATGATTGGAGAGTTGAGAGACACCCAGGGTTAAATATATACAATATACTTTCATTATTTATGCAACAAGTGCCCAATTTATGCCAACCAGACGTTGTGTCAGACCCTTTGCGGGTCAAGATGCTGTTCTCAGCTGAACGGCCTTTGTGGCATGAAATTAATTTTCAGTATTTTCATTTTAGTGAATGTATGGGGAAAAAAACCCAAGAAAGCCCTTAAAATGATCCAAGTTTTACAATGAACATAGAACATGTAACGTAGCAAGACTCTGATTAGGTGTCTTACTTTTTCTATCCCAGAAGATTAAGTTCATAAGAATAATGAAAACATGTGATCTAGTTCGAATACTTTGTTTTTGTTAATTTACTAAACATTTGTTTTTGTTAATTTACTAAACATTTGTGTTTTGTTTAAAACAAGACAATTTTTTAAGTGCCACTAATGAAAGCATATCTTTAATTCCATGTTTATATCAAGATAAATTTCTGCAAAATGCCACTAAGGGGAGCAGATCTTGAACTCCACGTATATTTAGCCATCTAAATATTCAGCCATCTAAATATTTTAGCCATCTTTTTTTAAAATGTTGAAATTTTAACATCGCTCTTTTGTATTCTTTTCAAGTACTGCATGAGAGCTGATCCACATTGTTTAACTTTCTCATGCAATTTTGGGAAAATGGACAGTGGAAAAGAAGCCAGTGTTCACATTCAGTTGGAGGGTCGGCCATCCATTTTAGAAATGGTAAGTCTATGATACAGTGACAACTTTGTGGAGAAGATTTCATATAGAATCTACAAACGCGACCATCTTATACAGGTAGGATGTCACGTAAGGAGGCATTCAACAAATTAAGATGGTATGAATGAATGTAAAATCTGGAGTGAAACTCCAAAACTCTTTCCATTTATCACTACAAAATACACTGTCTAAATGAAATGGCTTTAGTAATTAAACAGATTACTAAGACTGTAAATAGACTATAATTAAGAGATTTTAGAAAGCATGTCCAACTATTTATGAACCTTGATCAAATTAGAGAAGTTAGCTGCTTTAACATTTCATATATCCTTAAAATTCTTTCCAAATTACTTTATGCTTAAAAACCTACTATTGTATATCGTATACATTTATTAATATGTATTTGCTAAAAATTAAGACTTCCAGAAAATCAAACTAAAACATCAAAATTTATCAACAACAGTAAAACACAAACACGCTTTTAAGAAGATGAACTATGAAAGGTTGAATTAAAAATTAACTAAATACATGTTGAACTTCTTCCTAAGAAGCAGTATGCATATTTATGAGACGTACTTTGAGATCATTGGTTTTCTCTGGAGTTCTGTTCTTCAGTTTCTTTATCAGATTAATATGGGTAACATCTCTTTTTTCAGGGTTGCTGCAGATTAGATGATTTTCATAAAGCACTTAGTGCACAGCACATAATAAGCTAAAGGAAATGAGAGCTATTATGTTTTGTTAAGAGGAGTAGTTGAAATTACCACAAGGTGGGCAAGAGGAACATGCACCCGACAGGGAAATAAGAGCTGTCTGTTTTAGTTACAAGTTATTTAAACTTTTGCAGCCTGCCTTCATACTCTTTTTGAGGTCCAGGCTTCTCAACAGTGGGCACTAGTAGCATTTTGGACCAAATGCTGCTTTGTTGTCAGGGGCTGTCCTGTGCATTGTAGGATATTTAACAGCATAGCTGGCTTCTCCCCACTAAATGGCAGTACACTCCCTCCCAAGTCCTGCCCGCCACAAATGTCTCCAGACATAGCTGACTCTCCTCGAGGGTACAGAATCATCCCTGTTGAAAAAAACTGCTCCAGATAAAGTATATAATTTATTTTTAGCCCTAAAATTCTACATGTTCTCTCCAAAATGTTAAATAACCTTTACACAGTAGTTTTAACTTTTGTTGGTCATAGTGTCCTCTTTAAGAATTTGACAAAAGAATATATCCATCTACCCTAATGAACGCACATAGGAAAAAATTAAAAAATCTCCATTTTGAATACAACTTCAAAGATCCTTAGAGTCTGTGGAGCCTGTCCACAGATGCCCAAGCTCTGGATTCTGGGTGACAAAGCCCTCTGTTAGACAGTAAAGCTCTGAGGTCAGCCACTGATTTTATTTTTGAATGTTATAAATATTTGTACCAGATTTTTTCATTACGATATTTGGTACACTAATCTGTATTTGATCAGAGCAGAAAGATGACAACACTATTAAGAAAAACAAGCCCAAATAAAATTAATTTGAGGAAATGTTTATCAGACAAAGAAAGTCTTCTTTGGGAATAAAAATTCAATAGCTAAGGTAAAAATACACTGGTAATTATCAAATAGTATTTAAATATTAAATATTATAAGCATTTAAATCAAGTTCTCTGCACAGCAGCCGTGTTTAATAAAAGGATTTCAACAAAATGATGCCATATAAATTAATACCAAGGACATGCCTTTGGAACCAAAGGAAGCATTGCATTGCAATTAACTACAAATGGTGAAACCGGAGAAGATAATTTATGAAAACCTTTAGAATAGAAGTAGTTTCTCATGATTCTTACCTGCTCTGTGTTTTCATGAAACAAAACGATGTATCAGGCTACAGTGATCTTTTTTTTTTTTATTTATTAAACAGGATGAGACTAGAGCCCTGAAGTTTGAAATAAGAGCAACAGCTTTTCCAGAGCCAAATCCAAAAGTTATTGAACTAAACAAGGATGAGAATGTTGCACATGTAAGATTATTACCTTTTTAACTAAAACATAAACATTGTGGGAAAAAATATTGCTAGTGATTGGTCAGGAAAATCATGGCAAGCCTAATATACTTTACAGGGGATTGGTATTTTCTACAACTGCCAGGAAGGCATGACATAGCTCTTTCAGGAGGTGATTTTCGTAGGATGGATTGGAGGAAGAACCACAGATATGGCCCATTACACACCCTGTTTCTGCTAAACAATTACCAATGTTTCCTATGGTTTGTGTTAGACTAGCAAGAGAATGGGATGGGTTATTCTGAATACTATTGGGGATCATGGAGGGGCTTCAAACGAAATAGAGGCAAGGTTTTAAAGTGGTGTTTCTTTATTTTGATTAATTTATGTAGGTGCTACTCGAAGGACTACATCATCAAAGACCCAAACGCCATTTCACTATAGCGATTATTTTAAGTAGCTTGCTACTTGGACTTATTTTACTTTTATTGATTTCATATGTTATGTGGAAGGTAAGCCTTTAATAATTACCATTGTTAAACCACTCAAAATGCCATTCTTGATCTTCTCAAAGCCAACTTGTGACTCCCACGTTACTAGATTTCAGCATTTCAGTATTTATTTTTAATGTTAATTCTTATACTGATTGATTGCATATTTCTCTTAACTTTAGTACCACAGTCTTTCTAGAAAAATATGCCTTCTTAAAGATAACTTATCTTCAACAAATGTTCAAACTATAACAAACGTTTTGAAAGATGTTCTTTCTAACTAAGCATTGGGCAAACACTGCACGTTATATGTTGGATTTCAATTTTGGAGAGTGCGTGCATCACTGAGAAATCCTGCAGTAACAACAAAACAATGCTCTTTAACCCAATATTTCCCAAACTAATTTTTACTGACTACAATTGACATTGACTCTTATTATACTCATACCAAATATCTAATGTTCATGACTAATGCTATTTTCAGGCTGGCTTCTTCAAAAGACAGTACAAGTCTATCCTACAACAAGAAAACAGAAGAGACAGTTGGAGTTACATTAACAGTAAAAGCAGTAAAGATGATTGAAGACTTCTTTCAAATTGAGAGAATAACAGACTCAGGTTACAGTATACTAAAACAAATTTAGACATTGTTTGTTTACAAGAAACCGTGAATTTTGCCTCAGACTTCTTCTGTGTACTTCTTTTAGTCATGACCTTGTGACATGTTATGTCTTAATGCAGATGAAAAATCCAAGCAGTGATTATTCTAAGAGAAAATAACTCCAAAAGTAGTATTTTTAATATATCCAAAAAGATAATCTTTCAGCTCTTAAATGGATAGAAAAACACTAAAGCATCAGCTTATCCAAGATAAGTAATCCCTGGACAATACCTTGAAATGAGTGCATCTGAATTAAAATTATGTTGAAGTAAACAACTCGACTGGAGAAAACTTGGACTTTGAGGTATCATTCCTTTAAAAGAAATACTATTTACCATATGTGCTGGCTTTGGTAAAATTAATTCCACCAAATAGGTAAGGACTCATTTCTAATAGATCTTTGAGACTTGTTTGGAATATGTTCTCTAGAAATAGTTAGCAGAATTTTTGAAAGGCTGTTCCCAAATTTTCTAATGAATAGAAGAGGAACATTATCATTTTAAAGCATATTTTAAAGACATTGATTTGTAATATATTTCCTATAACCTTTGATCAACAACCATTTATTCAGCAGTCTATGAATACTATGGCCTGATGAGCAAACTTCAGACTGAAGTTATACACTGGTTTGAGCTTAATGGGATAATTTCTGGATAATTATTGTTTATACAGCTATGGATTTTTTCTTTCTGTACATATATATATACATAAGTTTTTAAGAGAAAATATGTTTATATAGGTATAAATCCAGTAAGTCCTTCTATAACACAATTTTATCAAGGGAAAGGTACTGAAGAGTAAATTGTAAAAATCCATCTTTAGTCAAATTTTTTGTTTATAAAAACAACAGTACTTAGAATTCTAATTTATATTCTAAAACAGATCGAATGTTGCACTTTAGCTGATATATGTAAACTATGAAAACTGTACCTCACTAATTTTTAAAAATCAAAGCTCTGCAAAGAACATATTGGGGACCAGTATTTCATACAAATTAGATACTGTTTAAAATGTTGACTATCAAATTCAGCAAATAAACAAATTCTTGTTTGGATGTTACTCCTTTCTCCTCAAATGTAAGTATGAAATGTGTTTTCACCAGTACTATAAGAGCATTCTCCTTCAGGGTAGAGAAGCAAATTTAACTGTAAAATTGAAAAATATAGATTTAGCTTGTATCAGGTAAAAATGTGACATCAAAATTTCCATGTTTTAGTGATGACTGAAGTATTTTAAGTTTTTTGTTGGTGTTATCTTAGACTTTTTATAATGAAGTAGTTTTTCTGCCTCTAAAATACCTCTTCATTTGCAAATACAATCACTTTTTGTAATACTTATTCATGCATATGAACTAAATGCTGATAAACACCAGAATATAATTTCCTCTGATTTGTCCCTACATCTGTCTTGATATGAAGGTTGTGGCCAAATTTTCGAAATCTGTTACGGGAAGTGATAGGTTAGAGGGCAGTCTTTACCACTATGGAAGAGGATTACTTCATAGAGGTCCCTGCCAACAGCTGTCTTCCTCAGACCACTTAATTCCTGTAAGTTATCTGTTCACAAATTGGTGGCTGGAGAATGAAAAATGCACAGAAACTTGTGAAGACATTTGAGCAGCGGGACCCAATGAGCACGAAACCTCCTGCATTCGGGGGTGTACCAATAGAAATTAATTCAATTTTAAAGAACCCTTTGAACAAAAGATACTATTTTTTTTTATGATTAAAAAACAAGTAGTTCTTTCAAGAAAATGTCTAGGCTCATTGGTGGAAAATCAAATCCAAATTTAGAATTGCTTTCTCAAGGATGATCCCTGAGGAAATTTAAATTTTGTTCCTTCCTACTAGAAATGACACCATTTCAGGTAGGATTCTAACCAGTTAGATATTTTGAATAGTTTATGTGTATTATGGATTTCAAAACCCTACCACTTTGAGTTTTCAACTTTCAGAGACTATTCACCAAAGTGGTGCTATAACTTTTTTAAAAATCCATCTTTTTTCTTTTTGGCAAGTAGTCTAGGTATTAGAGAGCTTTTGAAAAAATAGTACTATTTCTGGTTGTATCATTTCCTAGCTGTGTAATTTAATACCGCTGGATTACGTACCTCATCAAGAAATCAGGACAGTCTTTCTTACATGAACTCTGTGGTCTGTTGGCATCAGGCTATAGGAAATTTAACATCAGAATTGATGGACTCAAATCCAGGAATCCAAATTAGTTCATTTTGGAATTAATCTAGGTTAAATATTGATATATCATGTTTAAATTTCAAGTATATGAAAGATTTACTTTCCATTCCAATAAATACTTTCCAAAAACCAGAATTTAAATCGTTTTGTATATATTTCACGTCTTAAAGCCTAGAAGCTAATTTTTAGTAACATCAAAAATAGCAATTTTAATTTCTTTTAAAAATAGTTTTTTCCTTACTAAAATATCTGTTTAAAACATGACAGTATCCCTTCATATTAAAATTCTAATTTTCACATTCCTCTTATAAACAACTATATCTGTTTAAAACATGACAGTATCCCTTCATATTAAAATTCTAATTTTCACATTCCTCTTATAAACAACTACATGTTACTTCGGAATCATTCGTTTCTTCCATGCTTTTTCCATAAAGATTGATAAGTCTTGGGTGTACTCTGTAAAGAATATAAGAATATGTATGATTATTTCATCAACCTATCATTCTGTTATTTTTCACACATAACCCCTATCGAATGTGGTGCACAATACCAAATAGAAATCTAATGCTAGCCAACGAGCATACGATTCATGGCAGAGCTGCCATCTAGGAAAAAATGCAGGGCCTAATAAATCAGCAGCAGTAATTCCTGTAAAGCCCAGTCACCCACGCATGTAGAAAGCTCACACCTAGCAGGCTACTCAGGGAGCCCTGCACACTTCTTCTACCCACGGAGTCATAATGCTTATCAACAATAAGTTTGCATGTTCCCAAGCCTGTGTGTAACCCATTGCTCTTGTTAATATGTAAAATTGTTCTTACGTAAAGTATGCTTTGGAAAGACGATAAAAGCAAACTGCTGAACACAAAGTGTTACAGTATTTGTTGTGGGTAAAAGGAAATTTTAAACGACTGGGGGATTAAATTGTAACCATCTGCTATTCAGATGGCATCACAAGGTTTGAGATCTTAATCCATTTTTTAAAATTCAAAATGGAAATTGTAGACGTACATTATCTGTATAGTTTGTGAAGAATGGTAATTCAGAATGCCAACGTAGAGACTCATAACCAAAGAAAATGCTTTGGTTCTACATAACAATTAGTGAATAAATACAGTTACACTTCTTTATTTATTAAAATTGTACATGTGTCTTTTTATGCTTCCCTGACTTACGAATTTAAAACAATATTAGCCCAACTGCCTGTTTTGATAGTTATAAGGCAGCAACTTCCATTTATACGTCTATCAGACACAAAACTGATAGTACAAGATGGTGAAATAATTAGACTTACCTAACATGGACCTCTGATGCAACTTCCATTAAATCACCATCTACATTCCAAGGGAAACTGCTTCCTGTAGCAGTTTCATGTGGTACGTCGTCTTCCTCTGGATTGTGTCCACTGCTGTTACTCCTTGGGTGAACTTTTACTTCTTCAACAGTGTAAGTCTCAACAAATGGAAAATTAAACTACAAAAAACAAAAAATAAATGCAAATAACCTTGGTACTTGCTTTATCCCTAACTGTAATGCAAACTAGGAAAGTTCACTGTGCTCTCATTTGCAAGTAAATATCAGTGTGCATGCTGATGTTTTCATAGCTTCGAAACCCTAATTAGTTCCAATTTCTTTGGAAGAAGGAGCCCCTTTTCTGCTTTCCTAGCTCATTTAGATCTAGCAGCTGGCAAACTTGTTTTATGACAAATAGTATATGTCCATGAAATTGTATACAATAATTTCCAATAAAAACTAAATCTTTAATATTGGTCTGTTGTTATAGAGGATTTATATAATCCACTGACTTGATTATTGTCAACTAGTTTAACTGATGTAGAGCAAATTCTAGAATAAGTTTCACATTTGGAATTTAATTACGAAGAACTAAACTTATGAAGGTAAAAAGAGAAAGTCCATCCCATGTGATTTTGACAGGTATTTGCCTGTCTCATCCTCACTTTAAAGATGGACACAAGTTGCATGATAATTATGGTTGCTTACTGACCACTCTAGCATGGTACAAAGTCAGCTTCATATTTCAGTCTTTCTTGGTCATGCTACCCAAAGCAACCTACAGATTTAATGTGATCCTTATCAAACTACCCATGACATTCTTCACAGAAATAGAACAAATAATCCTAAAATTCATATGGAACCATAAAAGACCCAGAATTGCCAAAGCAACCCTGAGGAAAAAGAACAAAGCAGGAGGCATAACCCTCCCAGACTTCAGACAATACTACAAAGCTACTACAAATACTACTACTAATCAAAACAGTGTGGTACCGGCACAAAAACAGACACATAGATCAACGGAACAGAATAGAGAGCCCAGAAATAAGCCCACACACCTGTGGACAATTTAATCTTTGACAAAGGAGGGAAGAATATACAATGGGGAAAAGACAGTCTTTTCAGCAAGTGGTGTTGGGAAAATTGGACAGCCACATGAAAATCAACGAAGTTAGAACATTCCCTCACATCATAGACAAAAACGAACTCAAAATGGCTTAAAGACTTACATATAAGACATGACACCATAAAACCCCTAGAAGAGAATATAGGCAAAACATTCTCTGACATAAATCATACCAGTGTTTTCTTAGATCAGTCTCCCAAGGCAATAGAAATAAAATCAAAATTAAACAAATGGGGCCTATTCACACTTATAAGCTTTTGCACAGCAAAGGAAACCATAATCAAAATTAAAAGACAACCTAAGGAATGGAAGAAAATATTTCCAAATGATATGACTGACAAGGGCTTAATTTCAAAAATATACAAAGAGCTCATACAATTTAATAACAACAACAACAAAAAAAATCGAAAAGTGGGCAGAATATCTAAATAGACACTTCTCCAGAGAAGACATACAGATGGCCCATCGGCACATGAAAAGATGCTCATCATTCCTAATCATCAGAGAAATGCAAATCAAAACTACAGTGAGGTGCCACCTCACACTGGTCAGAATGGCCCTCATCAAAAAGTCTACAAATAACGAATGCTGGAGAGGGTGTGGAGAAAAGGGAACCGTGCTACAGTCTTGGTGGGAATGTAAATTGGTGCAGCCACTATGGAAAACAGTATGAAGTTTCCTCAAAAAACTAAAAATAGAGTTGCCATATGTTCCAGCAATCCCATTCCTGGGCATATACCCAGACAAAACCTTAATTCGAAAAGATACATGCACCCAGTGTTCAAAACAGCACTATTTATAGTAGCCAAGACATGGAAACAACCTAAATGCCCAACAACAGATGAATGGATAAAGAAGATGTGGTACATATATACAATGGACTATTACTCAGCCATA